TATTACATGCAGAAACCTGACAATTTAACAGGGGGGCCAAAAGCGCTGGCGGGGGACCCAGGAAGAAGAGGATCGGGCCTGCTCTGTGCAAAATCGTTGCACAGAGCAAGAAAGTATGACATGGTTTATTTTTTTTTTTTTAAAGCTGAACCTTTATAACCACTTTAAACTTCCCCATCAACAGAATGAAGGTACGGTGAGATGTTTATTTAAGATAGCATTATCAACTACAAGAATAGATCACTTATTAGTGTACTCTTTTTCATCTGGATAGAGCTCGGCAATTATTTTTGGGGGAGTGAAAATATTTTCTTGATTGACCCGGTAATCGTAAATTGCCCATTCTATTTGTTTTTGAACAGGGAATATCTTTTTAGATTTAGCAGGTCTCTTTTTGCCCAAAAAGACATGGAAAGGAGGAGAATCAAGTGCGGCACTGAAGAGGCTCTTGTGCACAGCAGAAGTGAGCATATTCAAATTGACAAGCATATTGCATGCAACTTCAGGTAAATACTGTAGGAGTCACTAAGAAATTCCCCGAAGCCTCCTCTAACACTGCCTCTGGGTCCTTTTCATTCCCTTCTATGCCCACCACTTTTAGGCTGGGCGTATTGAGATCTGACTCAGGTAGATACAGTGGAGCTGGAGAAACCTGGAGAGGGCCTGGCGTTTTAAAGACCTGGACAGAGATGGTTGTATTAAACCTGTAAGTTTTCTGAACGAATTGTGACATAGTTGCAAAAAAATCTGCCTTTGTCAGGTACACTGCTTGTTGTATGCCTAAAACAGAACTAGAGTCAGAGACTGGTGTTAAAATGGGGTCCTGCTCCATTGTAAGGGAAGATTCATAACACTGAGGAAGGGTTTTGTGTGGATCTTCAACAGAGTGCTCATTCACGGCCGTTGCCCCTGAAAGCTGAAAGTCACTGAAGCAGACACTGCTACTCCAGTGATCTCCACTTGCTTCCTGGTCCTATGCTGAGTGGCTGGCCAGATGCATGGTGAACACTGGAGATTGGCTGTTCCAACACAGGTGCCATTCACAGAATGCTTTGCATTTTCTTAATGAATGCGAAGCATTCTCTGAACAAGGTGGAGAGTGTGACATCACCACCACAGCTCTCCAGCTCTGCGGCAGTCTACGGACTCCTGTGGCAGTGCTGGATAACATGCCCTAGCATTTTTAGTTTAAATGTACTTTTAACAGAAAGTTTTTGGAAGTCATAACAAAATATGACTAAGCATCATATATGGAAATAGAGAACACAACATTTCAAATTCAGCTTTAAAGCTGACCTCCAGGTTTTCTGTGACAGTTCATTTGGACCAAGAATACAATTTATTCAAGAATACAAAGCTGCCTATGAATGGCTGAGCGCTGCTCAGACTAATTCTGCATTGTTCCGGGAGTGAGACGTAAAGTCTCTGTCTCACAGCCAGAACCCAGCAGTGTATTGTATGGAGCTGAAGCTACAGTACATACAGTGCTTAGAGCCTGTGTAGCACTTAGTGAAAGGAATGGTTTGTTTGGATCAACTTTGTCCAAATGAACTATTTAAAGTCACAGAAAACCTGGAGATCAGCTTTAAAGAGGTCCAATCTTGTATGAGTAATGATGTGACAGGCGGTAACAACACGTACTAAATACTATAGCACCCTGGTGCCCAACATGCAGCTCAAGGGTTGCATGCAGCCCTTTGGTATATGATATGCAGCCCTCAGAGCTCAGCTAATAGCACTGACCTCTACTGTCCTCATGTAACATGTTCTCAGTTTCATATTATCTACTTCAGCATATCAAAAATTTAGCATATCCACACACACTCTCTGACCCTCATTTCCTGTTACGTCTGCAGTTTTTGACAGTTTTCTCAAGCATTACATATATTGAACATACTGTGCGGCCCTTTGGTGATGTCAAGGGCTGCATCTGAGGCCCCTTTAGCTCATACGTTGACAACCACTGATATAGAGTATAATTATTTCTGCACAGGAGCCATTCAGACATAGTATACATGTCACATATCCAAAGATTTACCACTATGCTCCTGGCAATATGGAGATAGATGTCATCAGTAGACATTAACAAAAGAATAAATAAGCATGTCGCAGCAGGGGTTTAGTGTATCTAAACTCAAAAACAAAAATAGAATATAGTGCAGCTTACTAGTCCTTAGATGAGGTGGGTGTGTTAGTTTGTTTTAAGGCTTTTTGTCCTTTTATTTACACCTGGTAATCTTGCCAATAACACACTTCCTATTCTAGTGTGTCTACGCCAGCAATGGGCAAACTACGGCCCGCGGGCCGTATACGGCCCGGCGGACCTTTTAATCCGGCCCGTGGAGCTAGGCTCCCGCAAGGCCAGTGGTCGGCAAGCCGCGGCTCTTTACAAATTTAGATGCGGCTCTCCTGTGTGCCGGGCGCCCGCTCCCCTCCCTCCTCTCCTCCTCCTCTCCCCTCCTCTCCTCTCGGATGGCCGCCCCCCCTCTCGGATGGCCGCCCCCCTCCCTCCTCTCGGACGTCAGGACTCTGCAGCTGTCAGGATGTAGGCGGGGCAGCCAGGATGTAGGCGGGGCAGCGTGACGAACTCCTCTCACAGTCCTCCCTGAAGACCAGAACGGCGCGGGAATACGAGAGGAACGCGCGGACCAAAGGTAAGTGAATTGACACAGGGGGGGGACTTACTATATGGGGGATGAATTACTATATGGGGGACTTACTATATGGGGGACTTACTATATGGGGAATGAATTACTATATGGAGGACTTACTATATGGGGAATGAATTACTATATGGGGGACTTACTATATGGGGAACTTACTATATGGGGAATGAATTACTATATGGAGGACTTACTATATGGGGAATGAATTACTATATGGGGGACTTACTATATGGGGAATGAATTACTATATGGAGGACTTACTATATGGGGAATGAATTACTATATGGGGGACTTACTATATGGGGGACTTACTATATGGGGAATGAATTACTATATGGAGGACTTACTATATGGGGAATGAATTACTATATGGGGGACTTACTATATGGGGGACTTACTATATGGGGAATGAATTACTATATGGAGGACTTACTATATGGGGAATGAATTACTATATGGGGGACTTACTATATGGGGAATGAATTACTATATGGGGGACTTACTATATGGGGGATGAATTAATATGGGGGATGAATTAATATGGGGGATGAATTACTATGTGGGGGATGAATTACTATGTGGGGGATGAATTACTATGTGGGGGATGAATTACTATATGGGGGATGAATTACTATAGGGGGGGATGAATTACTATGGGGGACGAATTACTATATGGGGGACGAATTACTATATGGGGGATGAATTACTATATGGGGGATGAATTACTATATGGGGGATGAATTACTATGGGGGATGAATTACTATATGGGGGATGAATTACTATGGGGGATGAATTACTATATGGGGGATGAATTACTATATGGGGGATTAATTACTATATGGGGGGGATGAATTACTATGGGGGATGAATTACTATATGGGGGATTAATTACTATGCTTACTATGGGGGAATATTACTATACTTACTATGGATGACACATACACATCATTCATCTACTCTTGGTCCGGCCCCCGGGTCCAATATATGAACCCATTGCGGCCCTCAAGTCAAAAAGTTTGCCCCCCCTGGTCTACGCTCACTTCTCCACTCTATCTATGGGGGAAGCCATAGTTGTTACCCAGGCTGCTCTTCTGATTTGGACTACAAAACATTTTCCTACCTTCATCTATTTCATAGGGTTGTGGGAAATTGTAGTTTACAGACAACAACTAGCAAGAAATATAGCATTGTGATTTCAGTGCAATTCACAGGTAGTTACAAGGACACTGTATTTCTGTCAAGATCATCAGGTATGTATGTTCTGTACTTGCTGAAAATGATCTTAGCCTGATAAACTATGCAACCACAACATCTAAGGATTGGTAAGTTGCAATATATAAAATTTTTGCCTTTGGGTTTAGATCTCCTGTACATGTGTTACACACTGTTAATTAATCTATTGGACCTATATTAAAGTGTATTGATATCCTTATTTTGTTCTATAGTATATTTAAAGGTTAGAACCTCTATCAGGTTTTAATTGTTCTCCCTGTTGAGATGATTCACCCCCATTTTAATCTAAATTGTTACTAAACCCAGAACAGTAAAAACAGCCTGTATATGCATTAAAACATTCTCGTTATACTCACTGTGGAAACTAAGGGGTTAATCCTCAACATTGTGTAAAAAGGATATTTGAACCTCTCTGCACATGCTCAGTTTGGTGTGTATTGCTAGAGAGGTTGTTTTTTTTTTCTTTGGAGAGTGCATGTGATCAGTGCAGGGTCAATCAGCACTTTCCAGACAGAGGTCCTGCATCCAGCTACAGAAGAATGAAAGCTCCTCCTACAAGCTGTAACCAGTACTCTGCTGGACACTGATAAAAGTCACAAGACTGCCCTAACTGCTGATGAGAAAAGATATTTAGCAGTTTAGATTTACTAAAATAGTTGCACTTCCATGTTCTGTGTACTGTGGGAGACGAGATACAGTGAATGTAGGGTCCTGGGTTTAGTAACACTTTAATTCTGATTTTTTTTCCCTCTGCGTAGAATACCTGGTTGATCCTGCCAGTCCTCTTATATGCAAAACACGGAAGTGGATCTGTACTTGCATGGTCAGTTTGCATCTCATGGATGCTGTGCAAGTGTACAGCATGACTGTATCCTACATAATGTGTTCTGCAGCCCACCAGCACAAACCAGCAGTTTATATTTACTAAAATAGTTGCATTTCCATGTTCTGTGTACTGTGGGGAGACCTGATAGAGTGAATTCAGGGTCCTGGGTTTAGTAATACTTTAATGAGAAAGTGACAGGTGTGTTTAGAGCTGATCACAGAATTACTTGAGCTCTGAGAGATGGTCACATACAATATAACCTCATGATACCTACCTCTCCTTGACTTCCTCTGGAAAGCCTCTGTCTGGAAACACAGCCGAGATTGCGCTAAATATCAGATCACTGGGAAGGTGGGTTTTACAGATTTTCTTATTTCCTGAAAGTCACAAACATAAACAATGGAAAAAAACAATACAGGTAATAATACAGGCCATGTCAAAACCCACTGTCATTACTGAAAAGTCTTCTTACAGCAAGAAGCTGACAAAGGATGTTGAAACTGATGCTGCTCGAGAAAGTATTTAGAAAATAATTTAAAGACGTATGGCCAAAGCTCTTTTGGCCATACTTCTGGGGGTCACAGGAGTGCATTTAGTTCTGCACTTCTGTGACCCAGATTCAGAAAGACAGCCCAATCTCTGCAGGGATCCTTACAATATTGGGGTCTATGCAAATGCATGACTGGCAGCTGGCTCAGCCTCTCAGCACGCCACTGATAGCCGGAGCCAACTGTGAACACTGGAGGGGCGGAGCACAAAGCGGCAACTGACAGTCACCACTCTGTGCTCAGAGTGGACCAAAAAACTGAGCTATCAGTGCTCGATGTAGAGCCAGTGGGTGTCAGCTGCAGCTCAAAACGATGCTGCTGCCATCTACGGTTTGTTTTTTATGATTCCTGCACTTCTCTTTTAATAATTTTATTTGATCCTACAGGGTTTTTTTTTTTGTAATTCATTAACTAAAAAGAGAAAAGTTCCACATTCTGCTCTATACAACTTAAAGGGGATTTCTAATTACTTTTATAAAAAGATAGATGTTCCACATTCTTTTCCATCCATAGAAACATAAACCAGTAACAGGAGTAAAAAAAAACAATTGGTCCATTGAGTGTGCATCCCCTATTTTTATGTAGTTATTTATTTTTTTTCTTGACCCCTTTTGTTGGAGTCTAGACCTATGTTTATTCCAATAATGTTTAAACACATTCACTATTTTATGACCCAGTAACAATGCTGGATGTTTGTTCCAAGAAACAACTACTCTTTGGATAAAATAACCACAGCAAGTTATGTGATACAATTAAGTTTGTAATCATGCTTAGCGTTTGTTTTATGAAATAGGATACTTCTGAAACCAGAATATGAGATTGTTGATAATAGAGTGCAAATCAACTAACAAGATGTAAGAGATCTCAGTGACATCTCTTTTCAAGAGATACAAAGGCTTCAGGGGTGTAGACATTTTTGAAAAAACTACTAGTCCAGGAACTAAATCGGTGTCCCAATCTACTTGTCCCTTATGACAATCTACTTGTCCTGATAAAAACAAATACATTTTAACCAAAACCATATTTAAATCTGTTTTAAGTAATGTCTGGGGCTTGGGCTTTATGGCGATGTAAACATTTAATATTTTTAACATTGCACTGTTTATCTCCTCACCCCCCTGCCTGTCTCCAGCACCGGACCCGGGGACTAGCAGAAAGGAGAGAGACCTTACAGTGTAATGAGCACCGATTCGGTGCTTGTCAGGAAAGGGGAGTGTTGGGCTTATCCTTTATCGCTTTCGCTGCCAGAGCTGTTTTTACGTTTTTTTCACACGTTTAAAAAAATAATTTAAGACCTGAAGATTACATAAAACCCCCAGACAATACTGTATATAGTTTCTGAAATCAGAGATCCTAGAGAATAAAATAGCAGTAATCCCAATTTTTTATGTCACACAATATTATCACAAAGTAAAAAATACACTTAAGTTAATTTTAGGGCACAAAAAGCAATAAGTTATCCAATTTTTTTTTGTAAAATATAAAAGACGAGGTTGCATCGAGTAACTAGATATCAAACATGTCAAACCTTAAATTTGCGCGCGCTTGTGAAATGGCAACAAACTTTAGTACCCTATATTTTATATAGGTGATGCTTTTAAAACACCTTATAGGTCATCAGTTTAGCATTACGCGGGAGGTCTGGTGCTATAATTATTGCTCCCATTCTGGCATGCACGGCGATATGTAACATGTGTATCTCAATTGTCGTTTTCATGTGTAGGCACCCCAGCACGAACTTTTACGTTTGTATGTGCGTACATATGTGGAGATGGGGGGGCCTTGAAAAATTTTGGGGGACAGTTATATGCTTGAGTGTAACTTAATTTTTTTTTTTTAAAATAAAAATAAAATTTTTGTTTTTGCTAAACTTTTTTTTTTTAATCACATAGGGGACAAAAAGTCCCCTATGTGATGATTTTTTGATGACAGCTTCTCTTTTTTTGAGACATCCCAGGGTCTATCCCAGTGGACCCCTGTGCTCCACTGAAAGTAATGCAAATCGCACTGCATTACATTCTTTCCCGGCCTCGATGGCCGGGAATCTGTCAACGGGGACCCAGAAGTGACGTCACATCACTTCTGGGTCAGGGCAAGAAGGGGAGGGGAGTAGATGTGTCCACTGAACCAGTCCCGGCCCGAAGATGGGCAAGCGGAGCCTGGGACATATAGTGGGCAGGAGGGCAGAGCCTGGCAACATAATGGGCTGTGTGGAAGCAATGGGTGGCAGCGCTGCCGCCCGAATGCTTCCACCTGACAGGTGAGCCCTGCTGCTTGCCTGCAGCAGGGTTAAAAAGGTAAAAAAAAAAAAAAACTACCAGCCAAGCACCCGGAACTACATGTCCCAGGCATCAGGTGATATGAATTGAACATCCCTGAGCTTACTATCCTAGATAAAGCACGTCTTGGCTAATTGTCCTTTGCTGTTAGTACATGTACAGGGGTTGGACAAAATTGTGGAAAACACAAGGTCAAAGAACAAAAGTGTTACCTAATATGGTGTTGGACCGCCTCTGGCATCCAAAATGGCCTGAATTCTCCTGGGAATTGAAAAATATAAGTCTTGGATGGTGGATAATGGAATCTGATACCACTCTTCATACAAAAATCTTTCCAGTTCTCGCAAAGATGCCAGAGACGAAAAATGAGCCTGAACCATGTTCTCCAAAACTGACCATATTGGCTGTATGACATTGAAGTCCAGCAACTGCAGCTCCCAGGGAAGGTGCGAAATTTTGTCTGTATGCTCGTCAAACCAGGATTTGACAACACCAGCTATGTGAATCAAAGCATTATCGTCTTGGTAAATGGCACTATCTTTAGGAAACAATGTTTGCACCATGGAGTGCACATGGTCGGCCAAAACTTGTACATAGTCACTGGCAGTGACTCTACCTTTTAAGGCAATGATGGGGCTTGCAGAATACAAAGATATGGCTGCCCAAACCATGACTGTGCCACCACTATGCTTTACCGTTGGCATAAGACAGCCCTGGTAGTAAGATTGAGAAGGTGTTTGCTACACGTAAAGATGCCCAGTGGTTACGAACAGTATGAAGCTCGATTCATTGGACCATATTAAGTCTTCAATTGATTGATAACCCACGATTTATGGGTGTTGTACTACTCTCTCCTCTTCTGAACATTACTGGTTTGGCATTTGCAGCTTGCCCGTGAATGATTTACTTATGGAGTTCCCTCCACACAGTTTTTGTTGACATGGGTTTTGCAAGACTGAGATTGAGCTCTGCAGTCAGTTTTGCAGCAGTTGTTTTCTTATTCTGGTCACAATCCTGCGCACTGTCCTTTTGTCTCTTTCGGTTAGCTGACCATGTCAGCCACGCTTATGCTTATCAGACAAAGGTTTCCCAGGAACTGCATGTGCCATCATATCTTTTAATACTGTACCTTGTGACATAGAAAATAAATTGGCAAATTCAGTCACAGAGGCACCAGCTAAGTAGGCACCAACAATTTGCCCTCTTTGAAGCTCAGTAAGCTCTGACATGACTTCGTATTACTAGCAGAGCACGCAGTGAATGACGAAAGTGAGGCTTCCCACCTGTTAGCTAGGTGTTTCATCACACAGCGTAGGCAAAAGAATGTTACATCACTTTCGCTTTCAACGCAAAACATGACATTACTTTCACACCTGCAAATCATGCAGTGTTTCCATTTTTCTGTCCAACCAATGTAACTTCCCTTTGGTCATCATAAGGCTATTTCAGTTTCAGGAAGGTAAAGGCAAACTAAATCTCCCACTATTATCTCTCATCTTCAGCTACGTTCTATTATCATTATGATGGTACTTCACTATTGCTATTTGATATGCAGGGGATTTATCTCCTGTACTGTTATACAATTATTTGGCTTTACCTTGTGTTTTGCTTTGAACGGAGGTCTTCTCTTCTCCCTCTGCTCTGGGCTCTGCCTGACCCTTTGATACAGGGTGGCTTTCAAGGTTTGTCTGTGATTCACCTGCATAGTTTAAACAAACAAATGCAAGCATAACTGTTACTACAATAAAGATGTAAACCAAATACTAATTGTTTCTAATTTAATTATACACAGGGATAACAACCCTATATGTGAAACACTTGCTGGTATCCCCATGGATTCTACAGCCATACATACTGCATGTTAAAGAAAATGAAAATTAGAACCTGTGTGTCCTCTCTTCTCAGCATGGCATAAGAGAACAGATCTAAAAGCCGACAAAGCTTTCTTCCATGAACGAAGAGCTTTCCATCATGTGCTTTACACATCAATTAAGAAAAATCTTGGTAGTCATTAACACAATGTTTTAAAAGTAAGCTTGTGCTTTATGCAGTGCAGTTCACAACAAGAAGGTACTGAGCCAAATAAACTGACTCTGTACCATGTCTTTGCTGTGATCATATCAAACAATGTACACAACGGCTAAGGTTAGTAACCGGCTTTCACTTTCCTCCCACACACCGATCGGTGTGGAGGAAAGCTTCCTGGATCACAGCCAGAACCAGTATAAATTAGTCCCAGTGTCAACCAGTACTAGAAATATGATCATTCACCCCTCTACAGTATATTTCAGCTCCATCCTGTTTCTGATCTGACCAGTATATTAGTCCCTCACCTCCCTTACCCTGCTCATCTGTACATTAATTCCCTTCATTTTCATCCTTCCACTGTACGTGACCCACATATTCACTTCAGCTCTAGACAATCTTACCCCCTTCAAGACCAGGCCATTTCTTGCTATTAGGCACTGCGCTACTTTAACTGGCAATTGCACGGTCATGCAACACTGTACCCACATGAAATTGATATAATTTTTCCCCCACAAATACAGCTTTCTTGGTGATAATTGATTACCACTTGGTTTTTTATTTTTTGTGATATAAATGAAAAAAGACCGAAAATTTAAAAAAAACTATATTTTCTACATTCTGTTATAAAATATATGATAAAAACAGATGTAGTCATAAATTTAGGCCAAAATGTAATCTGCTGTATGTCTTTTGTAAAAAAAAAAAAAAAAAAAATACCACTAAGTGTATATTTCTTTTCCACCTGTATTTTTTTATTTTTTATTATATAAACGACCAAACATTTTGGAAAAAAAAACATATCCAATGAAAAAAAAAATATATATAAGTAATTTTGCATTTCTGGGTAGGGGGTGCGCGGCCCCTGCCCACGCTGCTATTCGCAGCCTCAGCTGTCAATCATGAAGTCCCGGCCGGTGCTTACTCACCCGGTCATCGCTGGGTATTACTGACAGGGGAGAGAACTGTATGTAAAATACAGTTCTCTCCCCGGTCAGTTCCTGCACACTGCATAGCAGAGCTATACAAAACAGTGTGCTTACAGTTGAAAGCACACACACAGCTTACTGTGAAACAGCACACAGTTAACCCTTTGATCGCCCCACATGTTAACCCCTTCCTGCCCAGTGCCATTTTGGTCTAAATTGGCCTAAATGTACCACCATTTGTAGACGCTATTGGGATTTTTTTTTTTTTAGCAAAGACATGTAGCAGAATACATTTTGGCCTAAATTTATGACAAAATTAGATTTTAAAATTTTTTTACTGGACATGTTTAATAGCAAAAAGTAAAAAAAAAAACGCACAGGCGATCAAATACCACCGAAAGAAAGTTCTAAGGATGTAAATTTCATTTGGGTGCAGCGCTGCATGACTGCGCAATTGTCAGTTAAAGTAACGCAGCGCCGTAATGCAAAAAATGGCCTGCTCAGGAACAGGGGTAAATCCTCTGGAGGGCAAGTCATTAATTGTTTTTTGTGAAAGAAAGTTATAGCGTCTACAAATGATGGTATATATATTTTGGAATATTTATTTCTTTTTATACTAATGGCAGTGATCAGCGACTTATAGTAGGACTGTGACAGTGTGGCGGGCAATTTGACACTAATTGATGCTGGGTAGGAACTGACTAAATGACACAAACTAATATAGTGATCAGTTCTAATACTATAAACTGTCACTGTAGTAATGATACTGGCTGGGGGTTAAAATTTAGGGGCAATCTAAGGGTTAACTGTATGCCTAACAATGTTTACTGTGTGTACTGTGTTCTGTTTTTACTAAGCAATGTGGTGTTTTTTTACTCCATGTTTTGCAGGGAGGAAAAACATGGCACATTGCTGCTGTCTGTAGAGAGCCCTCTGTTGTTTACTTACCTGGAAGAGCCGGATCATGGTCATGTACGTGATCTGGCACAGCGGGGTTGATCTGACAGAGTATATATGTGGTAGGCGGCCACCAAGGGGATGTTAACTTTTACATAAATGCAAAAAGTTTTCTACGCTCTCCTATGCCTCTGCTATAGCTGCTTTCTGACCACTGCTGTTTTGCTTACATTTCTAGAGAGCAGCTGTAGCAGCGTGAGTAAGCAGCATAAATGTTATGAATGGATGTTACTGCCGACTCGTAGCCCCCTCTGTGACGTTAACATATATAATTGGGTGAAAAAAAGCAGGTTTTCACAAAAAATATACTGACCCTCTTCTGCTATTCTCTTCCTCTTTCTGGTCATGGGCCCATCTGCTTTCACCTCCTCTCCTTTGTTTGCCACTGGGTCAGCATTCACTTTTTCCCCTTCATCTGCATATTGAAGAAGAGCGTGTACCAATTCCAAGAAGATAGCATCATCTAAGACACCGGCACCTGTACATAGAAGTAAGTTAGCGCTCTCTCATAATTAAACAAAATCATATCTAACATATGAGTAGCAACCAATAAGCCATTACAGCAAAATTCGAAGGTATACAGATTAGTAAGACATTTGCCAGAAGTACTAACTAACAGGTTTGCTTGAAAAGGTAGTGTTGTCCATGCAGCTAATGAGATTAATATTGGTTAATTTACTAACACTTGATTAGTTGCCAAGAAAAACAAATTTGTATCAGTTTATATTGTTATCAAAAAAATTCAACACGTGATAACACAGAAGCATGATTTACAATGCCATAACACTGTATAATGCAGGGGTACTCAACCTGTGGCCCACAGGCCACATGTAGCCCTCGCAGCCCTCCAAACTCAAATTGAATGCAGGAGTTTCAGGGCTCTTTCACATGGGATGGATCCATTTAGCAGATACGCTTGCTCAGTGGGGAATCTCTCCGCTGAGCAAGATGACAGCTCTGTGTCCTCTCTCATCTTATCTGATCTGAAGGACAGAAGGGGAATTGGAAATGTCCGTTTACACCCGCGCTCCATAGAGGAGAATGGAGGTTACGATCGGATACACCTGAAAAACGGGCAGGCGGACCCGATCGGAACATTCGTGTGTAAGTTCCCTTAGTGCGCTTTCAGAATGTGCACTACACCCACAAGATATAATAGAAGTCTATAGCCAAGAGCAGCTAACCTGCTTGAAAGCTGCAGGAGCCCTGTGCTGCACAGTAAGGGGTTATTTAAATTTGCAGTTTGGGGGGGCTATAAAACCCCATAGTTGAAACATGTTTTTAAAATTCTTATTCAAATCAGAAAACAAAAATAAGTGACTCACTGCCATGGAAGACATTGGGGAAAATTTCTTAAAACTGGAGCAGCTGTGCATGGCAACCTATTCGCTTCTATCTTCAGCTTGTTCAGGTAAGGTGCTTTCACACTTCTCCTTTGCAGAAACCAAAGTAAAATTGCATATGCATTTTGCTGCATTTTTACCATGTTTCTGGTGCATTTTGCACCTACGAAAAAAAAATGCGACAAAAAAAATGTACCAAAAACGTAACCGTGGGTACGTTTTTGCTGCATTTTTCATTCATTTCAGCCTTGGTTCACACTGATGAACTGCGATTTCTATGTGCTTTCAAGAGCAATTCTGAAGCGATTCTGTAGCCATTCTGGAGTGATTCTGATGCGATGATAAACAGCTCTGATTTCTGTTCTGTCTAATTTTGTGACATTAGAAATAGGTGTATCCCGCACTGAAATCGCATTGCATTTGAACACCTATGTGTTTTCACTGCTGTTTCCATTCAAGTCTATGGGTCTCAAAAACACACCGCATTTCACCAAACACGCACAGGACCCTTTTGGAAATCTAATCGCATTTGGAATGTATAGGTGTGAATATTTTCCGTAGATAGCCATGTTATCTCCCTTGACATGAGAATCTATGCATTCTGGAATGCATCAGATTCACTTCAGCATAAACAAGGGCTCAATGGGGCGGTGCGTTTTGGTGTGTTTTTTTACCGCAACAAATATGCAGCAAGCAGGACTTTGAAAATCGCAACGGACCCACAACTGACCAGCATGAAGAGTCCAAAAGGATTCAATAGTCGTGCATTTTTCTTATGCCTTTTTTAACACAAAAACGGAAGAAAAATGGATCAGTGTGAAAGCATACTTATGCTTTTTAAATGAAAGGCAGAAGTTGATTGGTTACCATGCACAGCTGCTCCATATTCTGGCTGACCCAGTTTTGATAAAGTCCTCTCAATGTTCTTTTAGTTCCTTTGAAATACTTATAAAATAAATCCAAGAGAACAAGGCACATTATAAACAAGAATTAGTTATAGGGTTGTTCCACTAAACAGAGGATAGCATGGTATGAGGCACTAAGACAAATACACTGTCCAAATAGTGGAACATTTTAATACTATAAATACTGTAAATACCTGCATACAAATTATGTAGCTATGTGAACGATGATTTATTTTCTACATTATATGCTTTTCGCAAACTAAACTAGCTGCCTTTTGTTGAAGGGAAAAAAGGCTTGCAAACCTGTTTTAGCTGAGTTGTTGTGTCCTGTAGGAAAGGAATGCCCACACCGAAAGACAAGTTCTCGGTCACGTAAGCTTGGACTTGATGCTATTGCAGATGTCAAATCCATTTCTATGATTGGGTGAAAATTAAAGGCTGCGTAAGTAAACAGCAACAGTGGCAATCTGCAAACAAAATGAACAATCTACATGCTCTACAACCAACCTTCTTCACCATGCACCTTCCCGTCATAATTATTGATGAGCTCTTCAATGAAGGTTTCATCCTCCTCTTTGACCTCATCTCCCATGTAGGGGATGTTACACAGAACAGTTTCATCCTCCACCTCCAGACAGAAAGACAAGTAAAGACACACTAAAACACAAATCTAAATTTAGTACATAAATTTCCTTAAAGAACATTGATAGAAGGATTGGGGAGATTGTGACTTTGTCACTGCAAAGACATGCTGGTAGGTAAATTTGATCATGTCTAAATTGGCCCTTGTATGTGTATAGATGAATGTGAGTTAGGGACTACAGATTGTATGTTCCTTGAGGGCAGGGACCGATGTGAATGTGTAATAAATCTAAAGCACTGTGTAAATTGACAGCACTATATAAGTACCTGTAATAAAAAAACAATGTTGACCTCTGCGGTCTGGCTCAGGTGATTTAGTCAGCCGATAGTGATATATCAGACATAGGCTAGTTTGTTAATCCAGTAACTCCTGAAAAGCCTAGGGTGCTGAAAAGAAGACACTATGGGGTTGATTTGCTAAAACTGGAGGAGTACAAAATCCTGGTGCAGTTCTGCATAGAAGCCAAACAGCTTCTAGGCTTTTTTGTTAAAAGAGAAGTATGGGGGAAAAAAATTTCTTTAAAATCATACTTGCCTAGGTAGATGAGGGATCGGTCCGATGGTGCATCTGTCTGCCGCCGGCTCTAAGGGTGAGAACGTAGTGATCACATATGGCCACGATCCTTCCCCAGCATGGACTGGCTCTGTGACCTCAGCCGACAGCAGACTTCAGCCCGCTGTCAGCTGAAAACAGGTCACAGGAGTGCAGAATGAACTGCACTCCTGTGACCCACAAAGAGAAGTACAGCCAAAAGGGCTTTGGCTGTACTTTTCCTTTAAAGCTTATTTGTATAAGCTGAAGTTAGAAGCTGATTGGCTACCATGCACACCTGCACCAGATTTTGCACTCTACAATTTTAGTAAGTCAACCTCATTAATAATAATAACAACAACTAATATTGCCTTCACCTACAGGTGAAACTCGAAAAATTAGAATATCGTGCAAGAGTGCATTTATTTCAGTAATGCAACTTAAAAGGTGAAACTAATATATGAGATAGACTCATTACATGCAAAGCAAGATAGTTCAAGCCGTGATTTGTCATTGTGATGATTATGGCTTACAGCTCATGAAAACCCCAAATCCACAATCTCAGAAAATTAGAATATTACATGCAATCAATAAAACAAGGATTGTACATAGAACAATATCGGACCTCTGAAAAGTATAAGCATGCATATGTACTCAGTACTTGGTTTGGGACCCTTTTGCAGCAATTACTGCCACAATGAGGCATGGCATGGAAGCTATCAGCCTGTGGCACTGCCAGGGGCGGACTGACCATTTGGAAACTCAGGCACTGCCCGAGGGCCCGGGGTCAGTAGGGGGCCCCATGAGATGCCCCTGTTACCTTTTTCATAGGCTTTTTTGAGTTTGGGCAAGGGCACAGGGGCCCAATGATCCCCTATTGCCTGGGGGCCCATGAGTTGTCAGTCCACCCCTGGGCACTGCTGAGGTGTTATGGAAGACCAGGATGCTTCAGTAGCGGCCTTCAGCTCTTCTGCATTGTTCGGTCTCATGTCTCTCATCTTTCTCTTGGCAATGCCCCATAGATTATCTATGGGCTTCAGGTCAGGCGAGTTTGCTGGCCAATCAAGCACAGTAATCCCACGGTCATTGAACCAGATTTTGATGCTTTTGGCAGTGCGGGCAGGTGCCAAGTCCTGCTGGAAAATGAAGTCCCCATAATCCCCATAAAGCTCGTCTGCGGAAGGAAGCATGAAGTGCTCCAAAATCTCCTGGTAGACGGCTGCATTGACCCTGGACTTAATGAAGCACAGTGGACCAACACCAGCAGATGACATGGCTCCCCAAATCAACACAGACTGTGGAAACTTCACACTGGACTTCAAGCATCTTCCAGTGTGTGCCTCTCCATTCTTCCTCCATACTCTGGGTCCTTGGTTTCCAAATGAGATGCAAAAGTTGCTCTCATCAGAAAAGAGGACTTTGGACCACTGAGCAACAGACCAGGTCTGTTTTTCTTTAGCCCAGGTAAGATGCTTCTGATGTTGTTTTTTTTTGTTCAGGAGTGGCTTGACAAGAGGAATACGACATTTGAAGCCCTTGTCCAGGATCCGTCTGTGTGTGGTGGCTCTTAATGCACTGACTCCAGCCTCAGTCCACTCCTTGTGAAAGTCCCCAACACTTTTGAATGGCCTTTTCCTGACAATCCTCTCCAGGCTGCGGTCATTCCTGCTGCTTGTGCACCTTTTTCTTCCACACTTTTCCCTTCCACATAACTTTCTATTAATGTGCTTTAATACAGCACTTTGGGAACATCCAACTTCTTTTGCCATCACCTTTTGAGGCTTTCCCTCCTTATGGAGGGTGTCAATGATGGTTTTCTGCACAACTGTCAGGTCAGCAGTCTTTCCCATGATTGTGATTCCTACTGAACCAGACTGTGGGACTCAGGAACCCTTTGCAGGTGTTATGGCTTAATTAGCTGATTAGGGTGGGACACTTTGAGCCTAGAATATTGCACCTTTTCACAATATTCTAATTTTCTGAGATTGTGGATATGGGTTTTCATGAGCTGTAAGCCATAATCATCACAATTATGACAAATCATGGCTTGATCTATCTTGCTTTGCATGTAATGAGTCTATCTCATATGTTAGTTTCACCGTTTAAGTTGAATTACTGAAATAAATGAACTTTTGCACGACATTCTAATTTTTCGAGTTTCACCTGTATATTGGGTTCTCCATATTTCTGGGAACATCCAACACAAATCCATACATGGAATGTGAGACTGATGTTAAACATCTCCTCACTCACTTTAAAGAAGCGGATTAGTGATCAACCCCTTACTTATGTCTTAATATACTGTAATGTTCATGGGCTGTACCTCCTGGTGTGTAGTTCCCTCAGTTTGAGTGCCAGATTTTTTAGGATAAGCCAGCAGGCCATCAGAACAAAGCCATGGATTTGAGTTATTTACATGTGACATTAAAGCAAACCTAAACCCAAGAGCAAAGATTGATAGTATCTCAGCTTACTTGTCCTTGGGTGTGGTGGTTGCATTAGTTTTTTTTTGTCGCACTTTTTTTTCTTTATTTGAACCTTGTAATGCTGCCATTACCACACTTCCTGTCCAAAGGTGTCAACCATACTGAGCAGTGTTGACACCCTAGCACAAGAAGTGTGTCAGGCCTACATAACACTGTTTTATGGAAAAGAGAGGGAAATGTTATGTAGTCCTAACAGGGGAGGTGTTTTGTAGTCCACACAGATAGCAACAATGCTGACTTATAATAGTCCAGAGGCAGGGAGCACAAGAATGTATCTGCTCAAAAGATTTCTGGCTGGAGAAACAGCTATTTTTTTCACTTGTAGAACAAACAGAAAAAAACTTACATTAGTATATTAGACAAACTAAAAGGAAGCAAATCAAAGAAATATTGTTAGCATTTACATACACTTTAATGTAGGTTTAGTCTATTTATAAAATGGAGGAGTTGGGCTATATTGAAGAGGATAAAGGGGAAGTATTTAAGGAAATTTGGAGAAAGTGGCGTGAATTTAAAACATCAAAAAGATATTTACAAATAAGAGGTGATACAATAGTAGACATGAGGAATTAAAACAGCTTAAAGGAATTTAGAGAAATAATATTGTTTACAGGAGGGGAAAGAGAAGTTTAAGATTGCTATGGACAAGGGGTTTTCTAGGGGGAGGGTAGGTTTTTTGGGGGGAAGAAGAGGGGATGTGTTTGAATAATAATGTTGATATTTATGTATTTATGTTTTTTGTTATATATGTTGTCAAATTTTTTATATAAAGGAAAATTAATAATAAAAGAGATAATAATAATAATAATAAAAAAAATGTAGGTCTAGTCGGTCAACCACATCTTAATAATCCTGTACCAATCTAGCACTGTCCCATCTGCAGCACCACTGTTCCCTCTCTCTGGTCTCACAGGCGGCTATGAGAGCAGCAGGAGACTTTGGCTCATGCTGCTGTCAATCAAATCCTGTGAGGAGGGAGCAGGGGGGGCATTGTTGAGCTGCGCTGTGTGCATCTATAGACACACACAGTCCCGCTTGGGAGCACGCCCACACAGGTGCCCCCTGGGAACAGGACTTGCACTGTGAGAGCACTCGTAAGAAGAGGGAGCAGACAGCGCTGGCAGGGATTTCAGAAGAGGAGGATCATGGCCTCAGAATAGGTAAGTATAACATTTTGTTTTTAATTTTAAATTAAAAAAATGCCTTTACAATCATATTAATCTAGTTATAAAATGAAGAAAACAACAATCTTGTAACAAGTGTATCTTTGTTAAAGTGGTTCTAAAGGCTCAAGGTTTTTTACCTTCATGCATTCTAGGCATGAAGGAAAAAATCCTTCTGTGTGTAGCAGCTCCCCCTAACACTTACCTGAGCACCCTCTTGATCCAGCTATGTCGGCGAGAGCCTCGGTTCTCTGGGGATTCTCACTCCTGATTGGCTGAGGCAGCAACGGGAGCCATTGGCTCATGCTGTTGTCAATTACAGCCAGTGAGACAATCAGGGGAGGGTAGGGCCAAGTAGTGGCTCTGTGTGTGAATAAGCAAAGCCATGGCTCTGAAGCGCACCTACTCGGGTACCCCCATAGCAAACTGGGGGCATCCAGCAGGAGAAAGGGGCTAGGACACCGGCAGGGGGCCCGAAATGAGGAGGATCCGGACTGCTCTGTGCAAAACCACAGCACAGAGCAGGTAGGTGTAGACATATTTGTTATTCTTAAGAAAAAAAAAAAACCAAGACCTTAGTATCACTTTAAGGTATAAAGCCCCACTATTTTCTACTGTTAAATCACAGATTTGAATGCACAACTGAATGAACTGAGGCAAAGAGCAAACTGATGGATTCATATACATAATGTAATTGATAAATAACATTTAACGAAGTCAACAAAACAACAAAACATTTAGATATATTTGAGAGAGAGATGATATTATATAGGATCATCCCTGAGTATTTGAAACTAAGCAGACTGAAGGACTGACTGGATGGCTCATAACATATTTACACACATGACAATAAAGTTAAAGTTATACAACATACCATGAAATTTTGCTGCAGAGGTGACCAAGAGTACATAATGGGAACAAGTGCCACAGTGTTCAGAGACCTTGTGGATACAGTCTGAACAGCAAATCCAGGAAAGCTACTTTCTACAGTGCACTAAAAAAAAGAAAAAAGTACTCAGTTACCTTTACATGAACTACCTGTGTTATAATAGGAAGGACTAACAGTAGGAGTAAGCACGAGAACATCAAACTTACTACAATTAAAGTGACTATAGTGAAATCATATAATTAAAGCGGAACTTAACTCTCTCAGTCAACAGTGATTATTTTTAATACTTATCCACTTGCCCTCCTCAGGATTTACTCCACTTCCTGACCAGGCCATTTTTTTGTGTTACGGTGCTGCGTTACTTTGACTGACAATTGCGCGGATATGCAACGCTGCACCCAAATGAAATTTACGTCCTTTTTTCCCCCACAAATTTAGTTTTCTTTCGGTGGTATTTGATCGCCTGTGCATTTTTAAATTTTTTTTGTGCTATAAAAAAAATGACCGACAATTTTGAGAAAAAAAACAATATTTTTGCCTTTTTGCTATTAAACATGTCCAGTAAAAAATTTTTTAAAAGATCAAATTTCGTTATAAAGTTAGGCCACAATGTATACTGCTACATGTCTTTGCTAAAAAAAAAAAAAAAAAATCCCAATACGTGTAAATTAATTGGTTTACGTGAAAGGTATAGCGCTTACAAATGGTGGTATAGATACAGGAATTTTTTTTTTTTTTTTTTTTACTAGTAATGGCAGCGATCAGCGACTTTTAGAGGGACTGCGGAGGGTATTCTGACACTGGGGGAAACTGACTTGGTGTCACTGACATCCCCAGAGACACCAATACAGTGATCAGTGCGAAAAAAAAAAACACTGACACTGTACTAATGGCACTGGGCAGGAAGGGGTTAACATGAGGGGCGATCAAAGGGTTAACTGTGAGTTGGGGGTGTTTTACTGGGGGACGGTGTATTGGTGCTTCACTGTAAGGACACTGCTCTGGATGGTTGTACTGTGCACAGCCATCCAGAGCAGTGTGCCCGAGCCGACAGGGGTGAGGACTGTTAGTAAACAAAGCAGCCCTCCCCCCGTCGGAGATCCTCAGTAATCACTGGGCGGTGGCAGGTAATCACCGGCCGAGACACGGTGATTGACAGCCACAGCCGCGAATGGCGGCACGGGCAGGGCACGTGCTCCCTACTCGGAAATGCAAAATCACTTATATATTGATTTGAAATATTGAAATATAATGATTTTGCACACCCCTGCCACCCTGTAGCAGTATATCTGCTATAGGGCGGAAGGGAAGCAGTTATGCTGTAAATTGATAGGAAAGTATATTATATTTACTTGTTTAAAACGTTTTTGTTTGCATTTCTTCAGTTACTTCCTGGTTTCCATGCCTAGGTAAATTATGTCATACATCCTAGAAGTCTTTAGGAGGGGAAGTGGGGAGGAATGGTTTTCTCAGCTAAGCACATCCCCCTGCATGCATGCCTGAGTTAGGGGTAGATGGATTCCAGAAAGTAAATGCTACATGAATCATCTGCTCTTACTTAAGATGGCCATGGCCAGAAATGCTAGGGGTGCTTTTCAAAATGATTTCTCAGAAAAATAAAGATTGGAGACATGGATGGATGGGTGAGTTTGCTTTGAATAATAACAATTAATTAAACAGCATTTTCATTTTCTGGTGCTCAGATTCAGCGTAATTCCACTTTGAAACATGAGTGAGTCCTTTTTCACATTGGCGTACTTAAGTGTATGCCCATGCAAGAGCCACACAGGTATGCACAGATGTTCAGAATCCCCTGCAGGTGCAGTTAGTCCCATCCATGTCAGTTAGGACGCAATGACTGCATGGACACAGACACTGCTTCCAATAGGACAGTTGTGCAGGTGCAGGTCCCCAAACGCAGACAGCCTGAGTTCGGGGATGTACACCCAACTGATGAGCTCTTCTCTTTAGGCTACGTTCACACTAGCGTTGTGTGCAGGCGGCAGAGAGGTATTTGGGAAGCGTTTTTACCGCTTCCCAATGCCTCTGACAATTCTGCACATTGCAGCACATGGTGCTGTTCTAACGGGAGCGTTAGCATCACGGCAAAACGGAAGCCTCTGGTCGAGTCAGGAGGCGTTGAAGCTTCCTATTCTAGTCTATGGTGCTGCTCCCGGCCGGCGTTTGCGGTGTGGTTGCGGGGCATTTGCGGAGCGGTAACACCATTCAAAACTTCATTATAGGTGTTTGTGGGGCGTTTTTAACGCTTGGCAAACGCCTAGCAACCGCCACTAAACCGTGCATGCGGCGTTTGCCGAGCATTAAAAAGCGCTCCGCAAACGCCGGACCAACGCTTGCCAACCGCTATAGGGGCGTTTGGCAAGCGTTGGTAAAACAGTCAAGTGTGAACGAGCCCTAACACTCCTATCTTCTTGTACTGCTTTTCCCTCCCTCTCCCTGAGCTCCGCTGTGCAGGAGACTGCAACAGGATGATGGCAAGCCAAATTCAGGCGCTTACGTTGCTTGCATTTAAAAAAAAAAAAAAAAAAAAAAACTATATTTAGCAAATGTAATTGTCAATACAGTGCTGCAATAATTTTGTCTTTTATATCTGCCTGGAGTTAAAGTGTAACTAAAGGCAAAACTGTTTTTTTAGTTTTGGATAGAGTGAAGAGGGAACCCCTCACTTTGAAGGGATTTCCTCTGACTTCCTATTTTGGTTATTGGTCAGGAAGTGAAAGAAAATTTCCCAAAAGGGACACAAAGAGCAAAAGTAAATCCTGGTATAACCCTTCCTTAGAGCCCGTTAACATATATGAGGATTAGATGCGGTTTGAACCGCATCCAATCCGCATAAGATGTGCAATATCATTGCTTCCTATGGTGCCTGTTCACATATGTCCGGTGCACAGCCAATGCAGATACAGTGTGGATTTCAGTGTGGTTTTAAAAAGAGTCATCCAATTTCTGAGCAGTGGCTTCGGGTTCAGGTGTGGATTACAGGCTGCTGACTTCTATGGGAGCAGTTCCTAAACCGCATATGTGTGAAGAGGATAAGATCCTGAGCTAATCCTGATGTGAACCGTTGAACAGCTACTATGTCAATTAGTTGTGAAACTTGATCTTCAATATGCACCGCATGTGTGTGAATCCGCTCTTAAAAATGTTTTGCATTTAGGTCTACTTTAACCACTTGCCCTCCAGAGGCTTTACCCCCCTTAATGACCAGGCCTCTTTTTGCTACTCGGCGCTGCACTAATTCAACTCATAATTGAGCAGTCATGCAATGCTGTACCAAACCAAATGTACACAAATAGAGCTTTCTTTCGGTGGTATTTGATCACCTGTGCGCTTTTTATTTTTCGCGCTATAAACAAAAAAAGACTGAAAAGTTTGAAGAAAAACAATATTTTTTTACGTTCGGCTATAAAAAAATATATAGTAAACTCAAACTTGGTTATAAATTTAGGCCAAAATTTATTTTGCTACATGTTTTTGGTAAAAAAAAAAATCCCAATAAATGTATATGGATTGCTTTGTGTGACAGTTACAGCATCTACAAACTATGGTATAGATACTGCAATCTACGCCTTTTTTTGTAATACAGCGCTGCGCTAGTTTAACTGACAATAGCGCGTTCATGCAATACAGTAATAAATTAAATGTACGTCTTTTTTTCACACAAGTAGAGCTTTCTTTTGGTGGTATTTGATCACCTGTGCGCTTTTTATTTTTGGCGCCGCTATAAACAAAAAGTTTTGAGGAAATTTGTTTTTTAAAAAAAACAATATTTTCTAATTTCTGTCAACAAATATCCCAAAAAACTAAAATTTTGTCATAAATTCTGCTACATGTTTTTGGTTTAAAAAATCCCAATAAATGTATATTTATTGCTTTGTGTGAAAGTTATAGCATCTACAAACTATGGTATAGATAATGGAATTTACACAGCTTTTACTTTCTGACTGCCCATCACATTTCTTGAGGTGCTAAAAATACCAGGACAGTACAAACACCCCCAAATGAACCCTTTTCGGAAAGTAGACACCCTAAGCTATCTGTTGAGAGGTATATTGAGTCCATGGAAGACTTATTTTTTTTCCACAAGTTTGTGGAAAATGACAAAAACATTTCTTTTTTACACAAAGTTGTCATTTAAATGATATATTTCTTACACAAGCCATGTGGAATTACACCCCAAAATAAATTTTGCTACTTCTACCGAGTATGGGGATACCACATGTGTGAGACTTTTTGGGAGCCTAGCCACATACAGGAGCCTGAAATCCAATGACCACTTTGAAAGCCTGAAGGTGTGTAACTTCCTCACTATCTATCACAGTTTCGAAGGCCCTGAAATGCCAGGATATCAACAACCCCCCACCCCCAAATGACCCCTTTTTGAAAAGTAGACACCCCAAGGAATTTAAAAAGAGGCATGGTGAGTATTTTGCAGATCTAATTTTTTCCTCACAAGGTTTTGAAATATAAAAAAAAGAAAAGAAAAAATATGTCTGGTTTTTTTTTATTAATTTTCCAAAAACTTGTAGCAACAAACGAGATCTGCAAACTACTCACCATGCTTCTTATCAAATTCCTTGGGGTGTCTACTTTCCAAAAATGGGTCATTTGGGGGGGGGGGGGGGGGGGGGGGGGTGGTGCTATCCTGGCATTTCAGAGCCTCCAAAACTGTGATAGGTAGTCAGGAAGTGTGATGAGACTGCCAAAACGTCTCTCACATGTGGTACCCCCATACTCAGAAGAAGTAACAGAAAGTATTTTGGGGAGCAATTCAACATATATCCATGGCATGTGTGCGCAATATATCATTTAAGTGACAATTTTATGTAAAAAAAAAAAAAAAAAAGTTTTGTCATTTTTCAAAAACTTGTGGTAAAAAAATAAATTCTTCTATTGATTCAATATGCCTCTCAGCAAATAGTTTGATGTGTCTACTTTCCAAAAAGGGGTCGTTTTGGGGGGTGGGGGCATTTTATGCCCAGCATTATAAGTTTATGCCACACATCACTCACTCTTCTAACCACCTGAAGACCAAGCCTTCTCTGACACTTTTTGTTCCCATGAAAAAAAATCTGTATTTTTTGCTAGGAAATTAATTTAAACCCCCAACTATTATATATTTTTTTTAAAAGCAAACACCCTAGTAAATAAAATGGTGGGTGCTGCAATTTTTTATGTCACATAATATTCGCACAGCGATTTTTCAAACGCAATTTAAAAAACACAAAAACACTTTTTTTACTTTTATTGCACAAAAACACAATATATTGGCCAATTATTTGGTAAAATTAAAAGATGATGGTATGCAGAGTAAATAGATACCAAACATGACATGCTTTAAAACTGCGCATGCCCCGTGCAATGGCAACAAACTGCATACGTTCGCCAGCTGACACAAATTATACTAGGATCATGCCTGCAGCTGTAGGCATCATCCTGGTAAAACCATTCAAAGTCCAGTGATATACCAGTACGTCGCTGGTCCTTGTTGGGTATACATGCTATGTTCTTTTGGTTTTTTTTTTTGTATGTATCCTGTAGGCTGAGAATGAAAAAAAAGAGAAGAAATCTCTGCCAAAAAAGTGTGTGGTATGCCCACCATTAGAATATACTGCCCTGCATCCACACACTTCTAATGGTGGGCACACATTAGGTCATGCGGTGCCACATGCGCCAGTTCCAAGATTGTATAAATGTCTAAATCAGGCATGTCCAAAGTCCGGCCCGCGGGCCATTTACGGCCCGGGGGTCGGTTTAATACGGCCCTCCAACAGCCCTCCCTGCTCTGTGCAATGTGGCCCTCCCACGGCCCTCCCTTCTATGGCAGACAGTCTTCTGCTTGAGAGCAGAGGGCAGTGCGCATGCCTGACTGTGGCGCGTTCTCCCTGGTCTGTGTAAATGTGGCTGTCGCATGGCCCTCCCTTCTGTGGCAGACAGTCTTCTGCTTGAGAGCAGTGCGCATGCGTGATTGCGCCGCGCTGGGAGCGACAGAGGGCGGTGACGTCAGGGCCGGTCTTCCAGCGTGAAGTGCGTTTCTCTTCCCCTCCTGCCTGCCGAGCAGAGACTTCAGCTCCAGCTACCTTTTTCACCCTTCACATTAGTGCAGGTAAGTTTTTTTTAAATTTATTTTCAATACATTGTGAAAACTCAACTGTCAGTTGATCTTAATGTTATAAAATGAAAAGTATGTCGTTTGCAATTAACTTGGCATAAAATAATTTATTTGCATTTAATTGTAATGGTTCAAAGAATGTTCGGAAAAATGTTCGGCCCTCCACCATGTTCACTTCATCCAATCTGGCCCTCTTTGAAAAAAGTTTGGACACCCCTGGTCTAAATAGTGGCACGCTTGAATAAAAATTGTCCACATATAAGTGGTACCCCATATGGAAAAAGGATGACACCAAGTCCCAAACTATCTTGCCACTGCTCCCCATGTAGTCTGGGCATCCGGGGAGCTCCACGTGATCCGGGGAGCTCCATCTTTTCCCTCGTAAATCCGAAACTTATAAGTATAGCCTGTTGCCCTCTCACAGGTCTACATCTTGACCCCATATCTGGCACGCTTGCTGGGAAGAGATTATTTAAATGCAAGACGGCCAGATAAATTAATGAGGGATTCATCAACGCAGATTTTTTGCTGGGAGTATAGACATCTGTAAATTTTTGGTTAAGGTGATTTACGAGGGGCTGAATTTTGTGGAGCTGGTCAAATTCAGGGTCACCCCGAGGATGACAGTGTATTGTCATTGAAATGCATAAAATACATTATATTCTCATATCTATGCCTGTCCATGGCAGCAGAGAAACACGGGCATATGATGAATTGGGTCTGTGGACCAATACAACCGCAGTTTTTTTTTTTTTTTTTCAATGCCCATGTTGAGGGTTATACTCCAAAAAAATATAAATTTGAAAAATGTAATGGGTTTCCATGCGAATAGTCTGGCAAGGTTTGAATATGGGTTGGCGGCGATAAATTGTTGCTTTGATCCACAATCAATGCATACAGATCTTCCATGAAAAACAGCTCCAAAAAATCAAGGGGAGGAGTTAAATTTGCTACTTTCACCTGAATTCCGGGTTGAGCAGTGAATGGGGGAAGTACGGGTGCTGCAGAATTGTGGGTTGCCAATCAGAAGGATACTAAGAGCTCTATGGGCCTGTGTGCGAATTCTTGGTGGTTGCGGGACAATACTTGTGCTCGCTACCATACCAGCTTGTACTGCACTTATGGGACTCGCTACATCACCAAGTCATACTGCAGTGCTGGTGGTATTATTATTATTATACAGGATTTATATAGCGCCAACAGTTTGCTCAGCGCTGTACAATATAAAGGGAGACAATACAGCAACAATACAGTTCAATACAAGAGGGTTAGGAGGGCATGATCTTGGGAGCTTACAATCTAAGAGGTATGTGAAAGACCAGGATGCACTAGACCGCTGGTGCTCGCCAGTTCACCAAAAGGTAGCGTGGCACTAGTACTGGCACTCTGCTGCATATGAGAGTCATCAAACTTTACTGGCAAGTGCTAAAAGAGATCAGGCCTGATTCTGCGAATACTGCGGTTTTGTGTGCAATTTATCAAGTGACAGTGACCTACTGACACTGCACTTGCTGAAGAAGAAGAAGGGGGGGGGTAAGCGTAGGGGCTAAATGCAGGTGCTGGCAGGTGCCGGGGCTGATCCCGCTAACGCTGCATTTTGGGGGAAGCTATACTAATGTGAACGCTGGTATAGTGCTGGTAAGATAATGATCTGTTCAGACACTATACTAGCAATACAGTAAAGGTTTATTGTGTATAAGCGTCTTCCTGGCAATCAAGGGGTTACAAGTGATTACTGGTGTACTGATGGGCAATCTGACACCATCTGGGAGGGGCATGAAAACCACGGAAGTGCGAATCAAGTATATATATATATATATATATATATGATTTTGCGCACCTGTGCCGCCCTGTAGCAGTATTTCTGCTATAGGGCGGTCAGGAAGCGGTTACATAAGCGGCTTGTGTTATGGCGCTGTGTTACTTTAACTGACAATTGCGCGGTCATGCAATGCTGCACCAAAATTATATTTACATCCTTTTTCCCCACGAATTGGGCTTTTGGTGGTTTTTGATTGCCTGTGCGTTTTTTATTTTTTGCGCTATAAAAAAAAAGCCCGACAATTTTGGGGAAAAAAAAAACAATATATTTTCAACTTTTTGCTATAAAACATGTCCAGTAAAAAAAAAATCAAATTTCATCATAAATTTCAGCTAAAATGCATTCTGCGACATGTCTTTGCTAAAGAACAGTCCCAATATGTGTAAATTAATTGGTTTACGTGAAAGTTATAGTGTTCACAAATGGCGGTATATATACTGAATTTTTTTTTTTATACTAATAATAGTGGCGAATAGCGACTTATGGCGGCAATCAGCGACTTATGGCGGGACTGCGGCGGACATTCTGATACTGGGGGGGAACTGACTTGGGGTCACTGATATCCCCAGTGACACCAATATAGTGATCAGTGCAAAAAAAAAAAAAAAAAAAAACACTGACACTGTACTAATGGCACTGGAGAGGAAGGGGTTAACTTCTGGAGACAAAGTGTTAACTATGTGAGGGGAGTGTTTTACTAGGGAGCGGGGGGGGGGGGGGGGGGGGGGGGGGGGTACTGCTCTGTTACACACTGTCCAGCACAGTGTGCTGAAAGCTTACAGGGAGGAAAGCTCCATTGAAAACAATGCAGCCTTCCTCTCTGTCAGTGATTGCCGGCAATCACCGAGTAATCACCGGCCAGGACCCGGTGATTGACACCCGCGGTCGGTGCTGCGGGTAGGGCGGAATGCAGGATCATGTTTATATACGTGATCCTGTGCACCGGGGCCGCCTTGTAGCAGTATATTTACTGAGGGCAGTCCCCTAGTGGTTCAAAAACAAAAAACACATTTCCTTGAAACAAACAAGAGACCAAAACAGCACAAAACCAAAGAAAACAAAAGACTAACCTGTATAAAAATGAAATATGTTTTTACCTTTTTTAGAAATGGGTGCCCACTTGAAGGCTTCATCACCTGAACTGGTTGCACTCTTAGTTTCTTCCAGTCTTCGTTTAAAATGTTTGTTCGGTCGTTAGCTTTTGCCAAATTTTCCACATACAAGGCCTGTAATATGGTAAGGCATTACTGTGTTATCAACACTGAAAATGTACATCAACAGGTATGCATGCATTCAAATCAAGCCATATTGTAGCACTTTGTTTTTAATTCTGGAGGAATAGGCTGAATACAGCATGCTGTACCATAGTACCATGTTTCTGCACACCACTCCAAGGATTTTCCCTCAGTGTGCTGTATCCAAATTCCAGCTGCCATATGGAGCAATGTAGATGCACTTACCAGAAATATTGCTCACTGAAATATGACTCACATTGTCAGTGGCACCATGGTCAAGTTGTTTTTGGTAATATGATCATTATGGAATGGTATGGTATGTGATAGTACAACAGATTCTTAATGGTCCGTTGCAACCTGAGGCACATGTCCATGTGGTGAACCCACTGGCTTGTTATAACTGCTGGGAACTTTCCAGATTCATCAACCTATAGTTATTACAAAGTGGTCTTTAGGTATATGGAGAAAAGTCGACTGATGATCTGTGCTTAATTAGCTTCAATGGAGAGCAGGAGAGACATTAGGGGTACAAAAGACCCTTGAAATGCCTCATAAAAGAGAAGCTGTCACTTCCAATGTGCTGTAAACCAGAGCTTTTTTCAGCTGGAAAGTGCAGAACTCTGTTACACCACTTCTGGCACTATCCTACTCACTACTGTCACATTTAAACACAAACGTCCAGCTTCTGTGTGTACAAGTGACAGCCCTCCTGTCCCACTCAGCTCCACAGTATCTTCACTGCCCTGGCTTCCCCCTCTATCTCTCCCCAGCACTCTGTAGCCTCTCGCTCTAGTGCTGACTGCAGAAAGACCATTGAGGTGGAGGCGCAGGAAGTGTTGACAGGAAGAGAGCTCAATGACTATCCTCAGAGATCCCGCCAGGAGGGATGTAAATTTTTTATTTATTAAAAATCTTACAAACAGCATAATAAAAACATATTTACATATATACACACGATATATATATATACACAGGTGAAACTTGAAAAATTTGAATATTGTGCAAAAGTTCATTTTTTTCAGTAATGCAACTTAAAAGGTGAAACTAATATATGAGATAGACTCATTACATGCAAAGCAAGATAGTTCAAGCCGTGATTTGTCATAATTGTGATGATTATGGCTTACAGCTCATAAAAACCCCAAATCCACAATCTCAGAAAATTTTAATATTGTGAAAAGGTGCAATATTCTCGGCTCAAAGTGTCCCACTCTAATCTGCTAATTAAGCCATAACTCCTGCAAAGGGTTCCTGAGCCTTTAAATGGTCTCTCAGTCTGGTTCAGTGGGAATCGCAATCATGGGAAAGACTAAAGACCGGACAGTTGTGCAGAAAACCATCATTGACACCCTGCATAAGGAGGGAAAGCCTCAAAAGGTAATTGCAAATGAAGTTGGATGTTCCCAAAGTTCTGTATCAAAAGCACATTAATAGAAAGTTATGTAGAAGGGAAAAGTGTGGAAGAAAAAGGTGCACAAGCAGCAGGAATGACCGCAGCCTGGAGAGGATTGTCAGAAAAAGGCCATTCAAAGTGTTGGAGACTTTCACAAGGAGTGGACTGAGGCTGGAGTCAGTGCATCAAGAGCCACCACACACAGACGGATCCTGGACAAGGGCTTCAAATGTCGTATTCCTCTTGTCAAGCCGCTCCTGAACAAACAACGTCAGAAGCATCTTACCTGGGCTAAAGAAAAACAGACCTGGTCTGTTGTTCAGTGGTCCAAAGTCCTCTTTTCTGATCAGAGCAACTCATCTCATTTGGAAACCAAGTCTGTGTTGATTTGGGTAGCGATGTCATCTGCTGGTGTTGGTCCACTGTGCTTCATTAAGTCCAGCGTCAACGCAGCCGTCTACCAGGAGATTTTGGAGCACTTCATGCTTCCTTCCGCAGTTGAGCTTTATGGGGATGCTGACTTCATTTTCCAGAAGGACTTTGCACCTGCCCACACTGCCAAAAGCACCAAAACCTGGCTCAATGACCGTGGGATTACTGTGCTTGATTAGCCAGCAAACTCACCTAACCTGAAGCCCATAGAGAATCTATGGGGCATTGCCAAGAGAAAGATGAGAGACATGAGACCGAACAATGCAGAAGAGCTGAAGGCCACTATTGAAGCATCCTGGTCTTCCATAACACCTCAGCAGTGCCACAGGCTGATAGCTTTGACGCCACACCGCATTGAGGCAGCAATTGCTGCAAAAGGTGCCCAAACTAAGTACTGAGTACATATGCATGCTTATACTTTTCCGAGGTCCGATATTGTTTTATTTACAATCATTGTTTTATTGATTGCATGTAATATTCTAATTTTCTGAGATTGTGGATTTGGGGTTTTCATGAGCTGTAAGCCATAATCATCACAATTATGACAAATCACGGCTTGAACTATCTTGCTTTGCATGTAATGAGTCTATCTCATATATTAGTTTCACCTTTTAAGTTACATTACTGAAATAAATGAACTTTTGCACGATATTCTAATTTTTTGAGTTTCACCTGTATATATATATATATATATATATATATATATATTATATATATATACACACACATATACAGTGGGGATCGAAAGTTTGGGCACCCCAGCTAAAAATTTGTATTAATGTGCATAAAGGAGCCAAGGAAAGATGGAAAAAATCTCCAAAAGGCATTAAATTACAGATTAGACATTCTTATAATATGTCAACAAAAGTTAGATTTTATTTCCATCATTTACACTTTCAAAATAACAGAAAACAAAAAAATGGTGTCTGCAAAAGTTTGGGCACCCTGCAGAGTTAATATCTTGTACTGCCTCCTTTGGTAAGTATCACAGCTTGTAAACGTTTTTTTGTAGCCAGCCAAGAGTCTTTCAATTCTTGTTTGAGGTATCTTTGCCCATTCTTCCTTACAAAAGTCTTCCCTTTCTTTGAGATTTCTGGGCTGTCTGTCACGCACTACTCTTTTAAGGTCTATCCATAGATTTTCAATTATGTTGAGGTCAGGAGATTGTGAAGGCCATGGCAAAACCTTCAGTTTACACCTCTTGATGTAATCCCCCGTGGATTTCGAGGTGTGTTTAGGATCATTATCCATTTGTAGAAGCCATCCTCTCTTTAACTTCAGCTTTTTCACAGATGGCATCAAGTTACCATCCACAATTTACTGAAATTTTATTGAATCCATTTTTCCTTCTACTCGTGAGATGTTCCCTGTGCCACTAGCTGCAACACAACCCCAAAGCATGATTGATTCAACCCCATGCTTAACAGTTGGACAGAGGTTCTTTTCATTAAATCCTGTTCCCCTTCTTGTCCAAACGTACCTTTGCTCATTCCGGCCAAAAAGTTCAATTTTAACCTCATCGGTCCACAGAACTTGTTTCCAAAATGCATCAGGCTTGTCTATATGTTCATTTGCAAAGTTCAAACGATGATTTTTGTGGTGAGGACGTAGAAGAGGTTTTCTTCTGATGACTCTTCCATGAAGACCATATTTGTACAAGTATCTATTTATAGTGGAATAGTGTACCACAACTCCAGTGTCTGCCAGATCTTTCTGGAGGGATCGTGCAGTCAAACGTGGGTTTTCAATTGTTTTTCTCACAATCCTGCGAGCTGTTCTGTCTGATATTTTTCTTGGTCTTCCAGATGTTGCTTCAACTTCCACTGTTCCTGATGACTGCCATTTCTTAATTACATTCCGAACAGAGGATATTGACATCTGAAAACGCTTTGCTATCTTCTTATAGCCTTCTCCAGCTTTGTGAGCGTCAACTATTTTCAGTTTCAGTTTTCTAGACAACTGCTTAGAAGAATCCATGGTGCTGATTGTTGGGGCAAGGTCAGATGAGTCTGGGCATTTAAAACCTTTGAGATTGACATCACCTGGTCTTCCCAGATGATGATTGAGAACAATCCATGACACTGGCAGGTCTCAGCTTTGCAAAGGGGGCAGTGCATGCTATAAATTCTGCAGGGTGCCCAAACTTTTGCAGACGCCATTTTTTTGTTTTCTGTTATTTTGAAAGTGTAAATGATGGAAATAAAATCTAACTTTTGTTGACATATTATAAGAATGTCTAATCTGTAATTTGATGCCTTTTGGAGATTTTTCCATCTTTCCTTGGCTTCTTTATGCACATTAATACAAATTTTTAGCTGGGGTGCCCAAACTTTCGATCCCCACTGTATATACATATATATATATATATATATATATATATATATATATATATATATATATATATATATATATATATAGATATATCATACATACATACATATACACACACACACACAGTTGTGTTCAAAATAATAGCAGTCAGACATCGCTAACCTGATCAATCACTGTTTTTGGTTGAAATGATATTTCTACATGGTAAATAATTTACTAGCAGGTGCAGTAGAGTAATAGAAATCCAACAGACCCAACAGTCATAACATGCATGCTGCTGATTCTGTGTGAATGAATCACTAATTGAAACGGGCATGTTCAAAATAATAGCAGTGTGGAGTTCTATTAGTGAGGTCATTCATTCTTTGAAAAACAGGTGGCAATTTTTGCCCTTATTTAAGGAAGGAAGGCAGCAAATGTTGTACATGCTGGTTACAGTGCATTTCACTCTGAAATTCTGAGGAAAATGAGTCGTTCCAGACATTGTTCAGAAGAACAGCGGACCTTGATTAAAAAGTTGATTGGAGAGGGGAAAACATATAAAGAAGTGCAGAAAATAATAGGCTGCTCAGCTAAAATGATCGCAAATGCTTTAAAATGGCAACCAAAACCTGAAAGACGTGGAAGAAAGCGAAAAACTACAATTCGAATGGATAGAAGAATAGCCAAAATGGCAAGGACTCAGCCAACAATCAGCTCCAGGAAGATCAAAGAAGGTCTAAACTTACCTGTGAGTACTGTTACAATTAGAAGACGCCTATGTGAAGCCAAGCTATCTGCAGAAGAAGCCCCCGCAAAGTCCCACTGTTGAAAAAAAGATGTGCTGAAGAGGTTACAATTT